AAGATAACTATTCAAATTTCAACTACAAATAATATAAAGAGTCAAATAAAAGATAAAAATAAATAAAAAAAATAAAAATATTACAAGTCAATTAATTATAAAAATAAAAAAGTTAACTATTTATATATGAACAATTAAAAAAAATTTAAATAAAAATATTATGAGTCAAATGATTTTAAAAATAAAAGGTAATTATGTATATATGAATAACAAATAAATATAAGATGAAAAAATATACAAAAATAAAAATATAACTATTTAATGAAAATCAAATAAAAGATAACAAAATATTTAAATAAAAAAAGAATAAGATTGGGATATAAATATCCAAAAGATGATAAGTTTTTTAACGATCTATATTTATCTTTTGTTAGTTTGTTATAGAATTTCTATATATTTTTTAACTTTATCTTTAAGTGGAACTTAATATTTTATCTTTTAAAATCATCAATTACTTATCCATACAAGTTTTAAACATGATAGAATTCCATATATATCTTTTGTTTAAACATAATCTTTTTAATATAAAAACAAGTTCATGCAAAAGAAACCATGAACAGAAATTGGGGGGAAAAATAATCAACATTGAGCCATTTCTGATCCCTTTTCGGTGCCTAAAAATCTTAAATATTTGCTTTACATTTGAAATGTGTACTTGCATGAGTTTTTGCATTTATAAGAAAGTGCGTTCATATAAATGAGCATTATTATTTTTAAATTTTTTTTTTGTTACAATCTGTATTTTTCCTTATTTCTTTCTTTTTGTTAATAATTTGTCATTTAATTGAGATTTTATTCTTTTTTTATATTTATAAAAGCACTGCTATTATCAATTTGTAACTCTCTCACTTATTGATTATTTGTGTTTAATTTTTTTTTTTTTTGGTGTAGATGTTAGATTGAAAATGAAGAATCAAAATTTATTAGATATGGGTTATACTTTAAATGTATTCATCAGTTGATTTTTTATTGTTGATTATCCTATTGAAATAATTTATGATTAAATTTATTTTAGTAACTCATTTCCTTTGAGAACTAAATCACAAATTTCTTCTTTGTTTAAATTTTTTATTTATTTATTTAGATTTAGAGTTTGAGCAAATGGAAGATATCTCATATTTAAAATGTTAATTTTTTTTTTTGAATAATTTAAATATTTATATTCTTTATGTTTGTCAATTCAAGTATAATGCATTGTCAAACATTTTTTTTAAAATTTTTTTATAATCATTCAAACCTATTTGTGTTTAATGAATCAATATAACGAAAAAACAAATAGCATGTAAAAATTTTAACCACACACTAACAAATATAATGA